CCGTCAGGGCAGGTGGGATGGAGCTGATGCCTGTGCCCATCAGGACAGGTGGGATGGAACTGATGCCTGTGCCCGTTAGGACAGGTGGTGGTGGCAGAGCTGATGCCTGTGCCCGCCCTTCTATGTGTTCCCGGGACTCTTCCTTTCTGTCCGTTAGATGGAAGGTGGAGGGAGTGGGGATTCCCTGAACTTGGGGGCCCTGGCTTCCGCCTCCTTTCCCCTGGCCTGGGGGCCACATGACTGTGTCCTGGCCTACCACTGACCCCTTGAGCCTCTGAAATGCTCAGATGGAGCAAAGCAGTAGGTGAGGTGGGGGAGGGGATGTTGCTTTTCGGGGCCTGAACACTGAATGTGTCCAGCTCATAGGAGCAAGGCAGGCGGTCCAGGCGGAGTCAGGCCTTGCCTCCCTTCCAGCCCTGCCCTGTTGCCCTGTCATTTGCCTTCCCCAGCCCCGTGAAGACAGCTTGAATAGTGTCAGTCTAGAGCAATGTATTTTTTTCTTTTTTAATTGGAAAAACCGGCAGTGTAGAAGTATGGACCCCTGAGGCACTGCACCCCACCCCCCCACACCCCCACCTTTGTGTGTGATCTCCTCCGCCTGAACCCGCCTCCTTCCCACACACACTGCCTCTTTGGCGAAGCCATGCCTGACGCCCCACTCATGATAATTACAGTTACCACCATTAACTGCCGTTTGTAGACAATTGGGCAATTGAGTGAAAGCACCTTGTCTACCCCAATGTAATCCTCATGGCATCTCTTAAAGAGACAGATCAGAAAACCAAGGGTGAGAACCTCATCCGAGGTGTCCCATCTGGGCAGGGATGGGCGCAGCGGACTCCAAATCCTACATCTTCACAGTCGTCCGCCCCCAGCCCCTCCTTACAGAGCAGGGAGATGCTTATTCGCTCTCCAAACTCCTACTGTGTGGGCCACTGAGAACCTGTTGCTGCAACAGCCAGGACCCGGCAGGACGTGAGACCCCAGGGCTGGTCTTGTGTCAGGGGCCCCAGAAGTCTCCGCCTCCCTCAGCCTCCTGCCCTAGGTCCTGCTTCCAGGGCTCACGGCTTCTGACACGTCCCTGAAGAAGGGAAGCCTTGCAAGAGCCCCATCCCCTCCCTGTGGGTCATTGTCTCATGCATCCGCTTCCTGACGCTGCCTGCACATCCAACTGAGCAGCCTGTCCCTGGCACCAGGAGGCCAGGCGTCCCAGCGGGCACCTGCTAATGTTCTCAGACCTGTTAACTAAATGAGTGTTCGTCATTGACTTGGCAGCTGCCTCCCCCACCACAGTGTAGCTCTTCAGGGTCAGTGACTTTCCATCTCGTTCATTCCCCACTCACAGACCGTCTCAGGGAAGCCAGGACCCACCCAGGGCAGGGGGTTTGGGGCTTGATCTGCTGCCACTCTCTCCCTGTCCAGAAAAACAGAAGGACAGTCCACCCCAGTTACGGTCTCAGGAGGGGTCACTGCTGGAGACCAGTGGAGCAGAGACAGCTAAGCCTCCCAGCCCCTCCCAGCCCCACACCTCAGGGTTACCTGCCCTCACTATGCCTCACCCTGCCCTCACCACGGCCCTCACCACGCCTCACCCTGCCCTCACCACGCCTCACCACTGCCCTCACCAGGGCCCTCACCCTGCCCTCACCAGGGCCCTCACCACGCCTCACCACTGCCCTCACCACGCCTCACCACTGCCCTCACCACGTCTCACCACAGCCCTCACCACGCCTCACCACTGCCCTCACCACGCCTCACCATGGCCCTCACCACGCCTCACCACGGCCCTCACCATGCCTCACGCTGCCCTCACCACGCCGCCTCTTGTGAAACTCGCTTTCCCCTCCTGCCCTGTACCTGCCAGTTCTCACAACGTTCTGTCGGCAGGTATGTCTGCCCTGACCACACTGCTTTCCTGTCCCCTGGGAAGCTCTGTCTCCCTCCCTCACAGCCTCAGGGCTCACCTTTTCTCCTGACCATCTTTCATGCTCCTCCCTTGACGCCTCACGTGCCGTGACCTTGGCCTTCTCTGTGTGCGTGAGGGTCATGTTCTGGGCGTCGGCCTCCCCGGCTAAGTTGCTGCCGTCTTTGCTGAGGCTGAGGAGTGGGCAGATGGCAGGGCCAGCGCTTGGAGCCCCTCTCTGGCCTGCATGCCTCAGCCCAGCACACGGCACCTGCGCTGCCCACTGGCTGCTGTCAGGCCTGGTGGATGTGGGGGGCTGCCTGCTGGCTGCTCTCAGGCCTGGTGGATGTAGGGGGGCTGCCCGCTGGCTGCTGTCGGGCCTGGTGGATGTGGGGGGCTGCCCGCTGGCTGTCTCGGGCCTGGCGGATGTAGGGGGCTGCCCACTGGCTGCTGTCAGGCCTGGTGGATGTGGGGGGCTGCCCGCTGGTTGTCTCGGGCCTGGTGGATATAGGGGGCTGCCCACTGGCTGCTGTCAGGCCTGGTGGATGTGGGGCGGCTGCCCGCTGGCTGCTGTCAGGCCTGGTGGATGTGGGGGGCTGCCCGCTGGCTGCTGTCAGGCCTGGTGGATGTGGGGGGCTGCCTGCTGGCTGCTGTCAGGCCTGGTGGATGTGGGGGGGCTGCCCGCTGGCTGTTCTCGGGCCTGGTGGGTGTGGGGGGCTGCCCGCTGGCTGCTCTCGGGCCTGGTGGATGTGGGGGGCTGCCTGCTGGCTGCTATCAGATCTGGTGGATGTGGGGGTGCTGCTCTCTGGCTGCTGTTGGGCCTGATGGATGTGGGGTCTACCCTCTGGCTGCTGTCAGGCCTGGTGGATATGGGGGTGCTGCCGGCTGGCTGCTGTCGGGCCTGGTGGATGTGGGGGACTGCCAGCTGGCTGTCTCGGGCCGGGTGGATGTAGGGGGCTACCCGCTGGCTGCTCTCAGATCTGGTGGATGTGGGGCGCTGCCCTCTGGCTGCTGTCGGTGAATATGGGGGGCTGTCTGCTGGCTGTCTCGGGCCTGGTGGATGTGGGGCGGCTGCCCTCTGGCCGCTGTCGGGTCTGGTGGATGTGGGGGGCTGCCCTCTGGCTGCTGTCTCGGGCCTGATGGATGTGGGAGGGGCTGCCGGGGTTCACGCTGCCTCGGCCTCAGCGTCATCTGTACTGTTCCCTCTTCAGGCTGCACACGGGCTGGTCTGTGCACACCTACCAGACGGAGAAGCAGAGGAGGGACCAGCATCTCAGCCCCACAGAGGTAGAGGCCATCCTGCAGGTCATCCAGAGGGCCGAGCGGCTGGACGTCCTGGAGCAGCAGAGAATCGGGTGAGCCACTGGAGCCAGCTGAGCGGGAGGGCAGCAGGGGCTCCGGTGACAGCCCTGGGGACTGGGAGGCTGGCCCTCTGGCTCCTGCTGCTGCTTTTCACCTCTGGGAGTGGGTCTGGAGGTCACGGACTCCAGCCCGTCCTGAAGGGTGCTCTTCCTGAACAGCCCCGGAGCCCCCTGTCGGATGAGGCCAGCGGATGGGTGTGCGCCTGGGTATGGACCAGAATGCTCACGGTGGTGAAGCGCCCCAGGGCTGCTGAGCTCTGCACACCTGCAGCTGTGCCAGGGTCAGCCAAGGGAGGGAGGGAGGTTTGGCTGCAGGCTGAGCCGGGGTCGCCCCTCCCGGCCGTCTGTGTGCACTTCTCCGGCCTGCAGCGTCCAGCCCCAACCACAGCTCGTCTTCCAGCACTTTCACTGCGTCCTGTGTTTAGTGACAAAGCAAGGCCTGTTTCCTAGAAACTCTGGAAACACAGAAAAGCAGGAGTAGGGAACACGGATGCAGGGCCTTGTTTGGAATTGATTTCATTCTGGTCTCCTGCATGGCTTGTATCTTTCTTTTTTTACTTTTGAGACGGGCCTCACTCTGTCATCTAGGCTAGAGAGCAGTTCCGATCACAGATCCTGGCAGCCTCAGCTTCCTGGGCTCCAGCCATCCCCCCACCTCAGCCTCAAGTAGCCAGGACTATGGCGTGACCACACACAGCTCTTTTTTTTTAGTCATGGGTTCTCACTGTGTCACCCGGGCTGGTCTCTAACTCCTGGGCTCACATGATCCGCCTGCCTCAGCTCACAAAGGGCTGGGATTACAGGCAAGAGCCACCCTGCCCAGCCTTCTTATCTTTGCAATGGGAGAAACAGGCCACGAGGGGTGGCTCATTCTTCAGCTCTGAGTCCACGAGTTCTCCCAGGCCATTCACTGGTCCCCGTGGGGCATTTCCCTGCCCCTCAATCTCCCTCTCCCGCCCTCCCCCCTTCTTCTCCCTCTCCCTCCCTGCCCCTCCGTCTCCCTCTCCCTCCCTGCCCCTCCGTCTCCCTCTCCCTCCCTCCCC